TGTACAGAAAAAGTTCGACAAATTTTCTATAGATGCATATTTGGCAGTTAAACATTGGCATATGATAAAAATAAAGAAAAAAACAGCTATATATATGTTGTCAACACAGCACATATATGATTTCTGTGAGCAATTCCCTTGTACAAGGGGAATTACTCCAATTAACTTTGTATTAACACTTAAAATGATATAATTCAAGTATTGTTCGGAATGGTTGGACATAAAACATCTTTTATTATAATATTTAAAAGGAAAATAACCAAAATAAAAAGAGAAACAGTAATGTTGTCAAAGTTGATACCATTACAAGCACCAACAGAAAAAAAGACTATATGCCATATGATGCTATCAATCTCAGTATTTGGATTTCATATGTTATTATTTTTCATTTGAAATTTAGTTTAACAGTTTTTAACTCTAGTAATAGATAAATTGACCAATCCCTTTTGTATTTTAATTTAATTTGTCTACTTGCTGCAAGAGAAAACTTATATTACTATTAAACCGATTTTGTTTGTCTGATTGACCTTTTCTATTGTTCGATGGTCACAGCTACACCATCCAGTTCCGGCCTAATCTATAGAATCCTTTCTAAGATTATATTACACGTACATCGGGATGTTATAGATACCGCATTATGTACAAATAGTATATTTCATCATTTCTATACCTTTGGACAAACTATTTATAAGTATTACCATAACAAACAAAAGTCTTAAATTCTACTCTCATCATTATTCATATGAAAAATAAATTCGAGTGATTCAATAATTATAATTTATGTCATTCAACAATGTCCGAAGAGATTAGATGACTATATTATTTTCTCATTAACATTATTAAATATAAGTACTAATATTGAAAGTCTTTTGCCTTGTGAGGTTATGACTCGGTCCAACATCACATTCAAAAGACACAACTTATCATATTGATTGTCAGTGGGGGCATTTTCAATTAATAATTTTATTGACGTCCAGTTATAAATAATATAATACTGTAAATTTTGAATCAAAGAACTCGATCACATTTATTCATTAAAGACAAATATAGAAATTCTGTCTCTTGTGGTGATCAAGCTATCCAGAACTTTCAAATTATTCACCAAAAAAATAAAATAATAATAAAATAAAATTCAATAGAAAAGTCTCGATTTTGAAAGTTTATATCAAGAAATTGAACAATAAAAAGTGGGGTTTCGTGTCTCTAGACGATGAAATTCATATACATTATAATAAACAAATTTAAAACAAGACAACGGGGACTGAAAATAAATTATGGAAAATTTCTATCAGCATTAACAAGGGATTTGCCAAATTGTGTGTAGTTTCATTGCTGAGTTTGTCTACTGCATTAATTGATCTGGAAAATATTGTACTTTGATGGAATATGCAAGTTTCTTTCGTGCATGTTGAATGGGCATAAACTTTCTTCAATATCAATGTAGAAATATATGGCTAGAGAGTGCTTCATGTTTAGCAACTACATTTTAAATAAATCTACTTATAAGCAAAAAGTAAGGTTTAAAGTAACTATTTTATTGGTGATCAAATTTTAGAAGTAGGAAAATTAAATACGTCTTTTGATTAAAATCAACTTTTGAAAAAAAAAATTAAAATTCACACTTTTACTTAAAAATAATTTTTATTTTTATTTTCTTTATCAAAACAGGGTTTGAAAAAAAAAATTAATTGGGTAATTTTACTTCTTTTAAGCTTAGCTAAACATGTTCTATAGAAGGAGAAAAACGATGAAGAGATAGTTTTTCATCTATTTGTCAGTGGGATCATTAGGGCTTAAATAGAAGAAAAACATGATATTTTCATTAAGATTCGAAGAAAAGCAATGTCTCCAATGGCCTGAGAGCTTCAAATCCGTCCATAGGCCATAGCCATACTTAAATTTCCCTAGAGAAATTATATATTATCTTCTTTAAATAAGTCCATTAATTACCCCTCCTTTATTTAATTCAGCATGATGATAAATTATAAAGTAATGAATAAGTAAACCATCATCCTCCAATAAATGTTGCTTATCTTCTTCAACTAGAAATTTCTCTTTCCTTGTTTACATAATATAAGGCCTGTCTTATGGCCAAATGTAGGAAGCAACTACAATTGATATAATTACCAAGAACATGTATTCTTGTAACATNTATATTTAAAGTGTTTATTCTTGCTTGAATAATGTATCTAATTTAGTTACTAATATTGCTTTCTATTGCCGATAATATATAATGCATGAATCTATTATATTAAAAAATGATAATTAATAGTTTTTGAATAATATATCTCTTATAGCATGTTTGAATCCCCTTTTCTTTTTTCTTTTTTTTTGCTAAAAATACATTTTTAAAATATTAGATTGATGGAGAATGTGTGGTTAAAAAAAACTTTTAAGTTTACGTATTATATTATTTTATTAAAAAATGTATGGTTACAAAGAAGATAGCGAAAAATGTATTTTGAAAATAATGTGGATCAAACAGGGGCATTTTCATGCTTGTCTAATACACTGTGAACTTCTCAAATAACTTTAATCCAAAAAAATACCTATAACTTTATAATAATATACTACAAGATAAAAAATTTTAATCCCCACCAAACAAGGACTAGATCTTAAAGCACTATCAAATTTGATTTTGTGACAAGTTGGTATAATCTTGTACAACTCAAGCATACTAAACATATCTTCGAATGGACAATGCTACATGTACAAACTTTTTTTACACAATCATTTACTTACTACTCACAATAAGGGTGGGGACAACAAGTCGCCATTTTTTAAATAAATGCAGGGTCCACACATTATGTGAGAGGGAGTGAAAGATTTTGTTAACCATAGTTTGTACATATATATTTATCCTCTTCGAATTACTAGATGAATTTCCATGTATTTGCCTGCCTTTACAGATTAAGCAACTCTAAACCGCAAGCTATCTCGTAAGTCCTTGTTTAATAAGATAAAAATATATATATATCAACTTTTTAATAGATTTAGATAAAAATTGTGAGTCCATAAAATGTGACTAAAATTTAATTATTGATTTTGACTTAAATTTTAATTAATTTTTTAATCTGAACCAAATAGTGGTTAAATAAAAAGGAAATATACATTTTTTTGTGGGTAAATCAAATCTATCACAAATATTTCATATAATTTCTTGAGTGAATCGGTGCATCCCCATCAACCTCATTATTATTTCTTTGTGTGGGACCCTTGAACTCTTGCTATTTATACGCATAAAAACCCATATAGGTACTCTACCAACGCTCATTTGTCATGGCTCTCTTTGTACCTCTACTTATAATAATCTTGTTCCCTTCAAGTAATTATGCACAGGGTCCACCTTCTCCTGGCTACTACCCCAGTTCAAGAATTGGCTCAATAGGGTTCAACCAAGGATTTAGGAACCTTTGGGGTCCTCAGCATCAACATATAGACCAGGGAACACTCACTCTTTGGCTTGACAGAAACTCAGGTACGTGACACTCACTATTTATAATGTATTCATGTACATGTCTCGTTATGTTTTTTCTTGTTTTGGTGCAGCATTATATTTTAAGTGCTTGGTGGCATGGGTTGGGCTTTTTTACTCTTATGTTTATCCTTCCTGCTGAATTTTTTTTCGTTACAGGAAGTGGTTTCAAATCGCTTAGTCCCTATTCATCTGGTTATTTTGGAGCCGCGATCAAGCTCCATCCCGGTTATACTGCCGGAGTCATAACCTCTTTCTATGTAAGAACACGATAGGGATCGACAGTAAAACTGACAAGATTTTAACTTAATTTTCTTTCATTTATTTAGTACCATAGAGTATTTTATGTACCATATTGTCATACTGTATGCAGTAGTTTTTAGGCATTTTAAGTTTTTCTGTTTGACAATATATGGCAGCTTTCAAATAGTGAAGATCATCCAGGAAACCATGATGAAATCGACATTGAATTCCTTGGAACAACACAGAATAAACCTTATATTTTGCAAACAAATGTGTATATCAGAGGAAGTGGAGATGGAAAAATTATAGGTAGAGAGATGAAATTTCGCCTTTGGTTCGACCCTACAAGAGATTTCCATAACTATGCCATACTCTGGAACCCTAGTGAGATCATGTAAGTACATGGAATTTAATTTAGACTATAGGATAGCATTATTTCTTCTTTTTTCTAATATGTAAGAAAATTTATTTTATGTCATGCATGCACGTTTGTGTATGCAATGCAACCAGAAAGTGTTTGGAGAAGTAATGTTATTCATCATCATTATTAATTATAAAAAAAAAAAAAAAAAAAAAAAAAACTATGATATTTTATTTCCTTGTGAAGTAATTTTCCTTGTGGCAATTTGATTTGAAATTTTAATTCAATGAAGATATCTCTACTCTCTGCCCCAGTTTGAGACAAATTAAAATTTGAATTTAAATCTAAATCAAAGTTAGTAACTAATTTTAATCACACATTTTATGGAATTCACAACTTTTCAACCATATATTTCATCAATTTTTCTCAAAATTTACTATAAAACTGATTTTAATCCCCATCAAACAAGGACTAGATCTTGAAGCACTATACTAAACATATCTTCTAATTACTTGATGAATTTCCATGTATCTGCCTACCTTTCCAGATTAGGCAACTCTAAACCGCAAGCAATCTCATAAGTCCTTGTTTAATATAGATATTAAAAAAAAAATCAACTTTTTAATAGATTAGATAAAAATTGATAGAATACGTGATCAAAAAATTGCGAGTCCATAAAATGTGTGACTAAAATTTAATTATTGATTTTGACTTAAATTTTAATCAATTTTTTTTTCTGAACCAAATAGTGGTTAAATAAAAAGGAAATTTATAATTTTTTGTGAGTAAATCAAATCTATCACAAATATTTCATATAATTTCTTGAGTGCATCGGTGCATCCCCATCAACCTCACTATTATTTCTTTGTGTGGGACCCTTGAACTCTTGCTATTTATACACATAAAAACCCATATAGGCCACTCTACCAACTCTCATGTGTCATGGCCCTCTTTGTACCTCTACTTATAATATTCTGGCTCCCTTCAAGTAATTATGCACAGGGTCCACCTTCTCCTGGCTACTACCCCAGTTCAAGAATTGGCTCAATAGGGTTCAACCAAGGATTTAGGAACCTTTGGGGTCCTCAGCATCAACATATAGACCAGGGAACACTCACTCTTTGGCTTGACAGAAACTCAGGTACGTGACACTCACTATTTATAATGTATTCATGTACATGTCTCGTTATGTTTTTTCTTGTTTTGGTGCAGCATTATATTTTAAGTGCTTGGTGGCATGGGTTGGGCTTTTTTACTCTTATGTTTATCCTTCCTGCTGAATTTTTTTTCGTTACAGGAAGTGGTTTCAAATCGCTTAGTCCCTATTCATCTGGTTATTTTGGAGCCGCGATCAAGCTCCATCCCGGTTATACTGCCGGAGTCATAACCTCTTTCTATGTAAGAACACGATAGGGATCGACAGTAAAACTGACAAGATTTTAACTTAATTTTCTTTCATTTATTTAGTACCATAGAGTATTTTATGTACCATATTGTCATACTGTATGCAGTAGTTTTTAGGCATTTTAAGTTTTTCTGTTTGACAATATATGGCAGCTTTCAAATAGTGAAGATCATCCAGGAAACCATGATGAAATCGACATTGAATTCCTTGGAACAACACAGAATAAACCTTATATTTTGCAAACAAATGTGTATATCAGAGGAAGTGGAGATGGAAAAATTATAGGTAGAGAGATGAAATTTCGCCTTTGGTTCGACCCTACAAGAGATTTCCATAACTATGCCATACTCTGGAACCCTAGTGAGATCATGTAAGTACATGGAATTTAATTTAGACTATAGGATAGCATTATTTCTTCTTTTTTCTAATATGTAAGAAAATTTATTTTATGTCATGCATGCACGTTTGTGTATGCAATGCAACCAGAAAGTGTTTGGAGAAGTAATGTTATTCATCATCATTATTAATTATTGTCAGAAGTGACCTTATAATTCATTGTTCATTTGAATTGTAATGCATTTAATATATTGGATGAAAAAAAAAAAAAAAAAGCTATAATATTATATTTCCTTGTGAAGTAATTTTCCTTATGTCAATTTGATTTGAAATTTTAATTCAATGAAGATATCTCTCGTCTTTGGCCCAGTTTGGTACAAATTAAAATTTGAATTTTATTCTAAATTAAAGTTAGCAACTAATTTTAACCACACATTTTATGTGACTCACAACTTTTCAACCACACATTTCATCAATTTTTATCAAAATTTACTACAAAACTAATTTTAATCCCCACCAAACAAGGACTAGATCTTAAAGCACTATCAAATTTGATTTTGTGACAAGTTGGTATAATCTTGTACAACTCAAGCATACTAAACATATCTTCGAATGGACAATGCTACATGTACAAACTTTTTTTACACAATCATTTACTTACTACTCACAATAAGGGTGGGGACAACAAGTCGCCATTTTTTAAATAAATGCAGGGTCCACACATTATGTGAGAGGGAGTGAAAGATTTTGTTAACCATAGTTTGTACATATATATTTATCCTCTTCGAATTACTAGATGAATTTCCATGTATTTGCCTGCCTTTACAGATTAAGCAACTCTAAACCGCAAGCTATCTCGTAAGTCCTTGTTTAATAAGATAAAAATATATATATATCAACTTTTTAATAGATTTAGATAAAAATTGTGAGTCCATAAAATGTGACTAAAATTTAATTATTGATTTTGACTTAAATTTTAATTAATTTTTTAATCTGAACCAAATAGTGGTTAAATAAAAAGGAAATATACATTTTTTTGTGGGTAAATCAAATCTATCACAAATATTTCATATAATTTCTTGAGTGAATCGGTGCATCCCCATCAACCTCATTATTATTTCTTTGTGTGGGACCCTTGAACTCTTGCTATTTATACGCATAAAAACCCATATAGGTACTCTACCAACGCTCATTTGTCATGGCTCTCTTTGTACCTCTACTTATAATAATCTTGTTCCCTTCAAGTAATTATGCACAGGGTCCACCTTCTCCTGGCTACTACCCCAGTTCAAGAATTGGCTCAATAGGGTTCAACCAAGGATTTAGGAACCTTTGGGGTCCTCAGCATCAACATATAGACCAGGGAACACTCACTCTTTGGCTTGACAGAAACTCAGGTACGTGACACTCACTATTTATAATGTATTCATGTACATGTCTCGTTATGTTTTTTCTTGTTTTGGTGCAGCATTATATTTTAAGTGCTTGGTGGCATGGGTTGGGCTTTTTTACTCTTATGTTTATCCTTCCTGCTGAATTTTTTTTCGTTACAGGAAGTGGTTTCAAATCGCTTAGTCCCTATTCATCTGGTTATTTTGGAGCCGCGATCAAGCTCCATCCCGGTTATACTGCCGGAGTCATAACCTCTTTCTATGTAAGAACACGATAGGGATCGACAGTAAAACTGACAAGATTTTAACTTAATTTTCTTTCATTTATTTAGTACCATAGAGTATTTTATGTACCATATTGTCATACTGTATGCAGTAGTTTTTAGGCATTTTAAGTTTTTCTGTTTGACAATATATGGCAGCTTTCAAATAGTGAAGATCATCCAGGAAACCATGATGAAATCGACATTGAATTCCTTGGAACAACACAGAATAAACCTTATATTTTGCAAACAAATGTGTATATCAGAGGAAGTGGAGATGGAAAAATTATAGGTAGAGAGATGAAATTTCGCCTTTGGTTCGACCCTACAAGAGATTTCCATAACTATGCCATACTCTGGAACCCTAGTGAGATCATGTAAGTACATGGAATTTAATTTAGACTATAGGATAGCATTATTTCTTCTTTTTTCTAATATGTAAGAAAATTTATTTTATGTCATGCATGTACGTTTGTGTATGCAATGCAACCAGAAAGTGTTTGGAGAAGTAATGTTATTCATCATCATTATTAATTATTGTCAGAAGTGACCTTATAATTCATTGTTCATTTGAATTGTAATGCATTTAGTATATTGGATGATGAATCGAAGGACTAATAATAATGAATATCTTTATTTGTATTTCGAGAGATGCATGCATAGTTGTGAAGACTAAATAGGTCTAGCCTAGCTCATATCCCTAGGTACATGTTTCATAAACAAGAGTGGAAAAAAAATTGTTGCACAACACTGATTGGTGGGCCAATATTGAGTTAATATCTTATAATAATTCATAAAATGTCTAGATGAATTTTGGTAGAAAGTGAAGAAAAGGAGACAAAAAAGCTAAATTAGCCCCATAATTTTTAATTTTCCTATGATGTGATGTGCAGATTTTTTGTGGATGATGTGCCAATTAGAAGGTATCCAAGGAAGAGTGATGCCACATTCCCATTAAGGCCTATGTGGGTTTACGGATCGATATGGGATGCCTCGTCCTGGGCTACTGAGAATGGAAAACACAAAGCTAATTATCGATATCAACCGTTTATTGGAAAGTACAATAATTTTAAGATAGCTGGTTGTAAAGCCAATAGTGCAACCTCGTGTCATCCGACAACTGGTTCACCGTACGGCTCTAGTGGGCTGAGCCACCAGCAGTACGACGCCATGGGGTGGGTGCAGAGAAATTACAAGGTTTATGACTATTGCCAGGATTCAAAGAGAGACCATAGACTCACACCTGAGTGTTAGGATTGGGCCCAATAGGGTTTTGTAAGTGGCTTGAGATGGACCCATTTTCCAAAATGGATACTAATTTGGGTTGAAGCGTCCAAGCCTGATTGTCTTGTCAAAACCCAATATGGGTTTGTTTGAGTGTGTGTGTGTGTGTGTGTTGTAATAAAAGAAAAGCAGTACTTTCTCAGTCCTATAATTGTTGAAGTAGTTTATCATAAATTTTAAACGTCACACGGATTTATATATTTTAATTAATTTTTTCGTCTTGAATTTAATCATATATCTTAATTAAAGACTTGGAATGTGGATTATTTTTATAAATGAAAAGGGCAAACTTGGACATCGGAATTGCTTTACTACTAAGCACAGTTATTTATATTTGTTTTCAACATTAATAATATGCATATACGCAATAGAGCTTGTTTGACAAGATTTTTGAAAAAAAGGAAAAAAAATTGAATTTTTCGACTTATTTGGATAATTTCTAAAGAGAAATTTTATTTAGTTGGAAGAAATTTTAGAGAAAAGTTGATTTCACGTAAATTAATGATAAAGCTTTCTAAAAAAAAAATGGAAGCGTGTCGATGGTACGTAATAAACTTGCAGCCAATGTTCAAATTAATTAATCAATTGAATCCAAAAAGATTATTTTTTTTTTATAATTGATTTTTTTTTTATCGTTAGAGAGAAAAGTGGATCTCGCATGTAAAATAAGAAATAAAAAATGACGACTGAAATATGATATAACGATCAAAAAATTGATTTTTAGGGTAAAATTTTGCTACCAAACATGCACTAAATGTTTACGTTTCTTCCTTTTTAAACGGTTTGGCTATAGGTACAATTTAGTTGATAGTGTGTGAAATAGTCAATATTTTTGTCATTGATTTCAATAACACTTATAAAAATCAACAGCACGAATTTTTACATCTCGTTAATTGTCAATAAGTTGTACATTTTCAATGTACAAGTAACACAATTCTTTTTTAAAACATTCCACTTTTTCACTGTGTCATGCTTTCTAGGGTATAAAAATTGAGTTTTAATTATTTGTTTAGTTAGTATTTATTTTATTAGCCCTATTTAGTGGACATTAAAATTATTATTTTAATTCAACTTAAAGTCAACAATTAAATTTAACCATATATTTCATGCGATTCACGACTTTTAAATCACATATTTATCCACTTCTATCCAAATTTACTAAAAAACTTATTTTAATCCCTACCGAATAGGGACAATAAATTAAAATTCAATTCTGATTAGAACTTTTAAATTTTATTATTATCTAGATGTTAATTATTAATCAGGATAAATCATTAATTAGAGTAACTAATTTATTAGGATTAGTAGTTAATTAAGTTTTTTAGTTGTTATAAGGTAATCAGAAAAAAAATCGTATCACTTACGCTCATTGCATAAACAGTTTCTATCATTTCAAATTTGGCACTTACAACCTCATTTCAAACATTTCTTGTATAGTTGGTCCTTTCTGCCAGGTTCCGTTAAATCATTTTATGAAATATAGGTAATTGGCATAAAAAATCCCTATCGGTTGCCTCCGTTACACAAACCATCCCTATTATTTCGATTTTAATAATTGGGCACTCGGATCAATCTTTCTTTTGGGGGGGGTGGGAAAACACATTTTTCATGAAAAAATATTAGCAATTAAACGCATTAGTATTTGTGTAATTTAGCTCCTCCATTCTAAAACTCATCACAAAACCCCAACACAGCAATCCAAACTAATAATGTTATTTGTACTTACTCATTATCATAGTCGTCCGATGTGGTACGCATGTGACGATTAATAATTTGATACATGTGATAAGAAAAAATATCACTTTAATACATCAAATTACAAATCGTCATGTCAAATATCACATTAGACGACTACCACGGCAAGCAATTACGAATAACATTATTCAGAGGGTGCTTGATGCAGATTTTGATAATTAATTTTTTGACCTTTAGAGATAAAAATGAGTCTTAGGTTTGAGAGAATAATTCAAAATGATGACTGAAGAGTAAAATAATGATAAAAAATTGATTTTAATTGGCTTAAAATCCCCACCAAACACCCCATCGATCCAAAACCACAATCCAGAACGATAACGTACAAACTTGTTATGGTTGGAGCCCAACTTCAACCAAAACCAATTAATTTCCAACCAAGTTCAACCAAATAACCAGCAGGTATAAACCCAAGATATTGTAATTATCCAAAATAAAGAACACAATCTGAAATAACTAACAATAAAAACACAAGATTCTGAATATAAATCGCAATCACCCAAATTGAGGAACATAAACTGAATTACTAACAAGAACCAGTTAATCGCCAACCAAAATCAACACATTCATTCCCTTAATTGATGATTGTCTTACAATGCAGTGGATTAAAAGTATAGTAACAATTACAAAAGAAAAAAATGGTTTAGCTGAGGAAGAAGAGACAGAGAATTGGAGAGAAGATTAAAGTAGAATAAGAGGAGAGGAAGAACCGAGAAGAAGAATAAACAGGAGAAGAAACTTACCACAGAGGGGGGAAACGCAGAACATAGAAGAAGAGGGAAGAACACAGAAGAAGAGGGGAGAAAACGGGCAGCAGCCACGATCAATTCAATGTTCCACACCTCCAAAACATAACCATACAATCCTATATAGAGTAAAATAACAACCGGGCTTGGGCTAGCCCATTAATACAAGCCCAATTAGATAAAATCAAAGATAAATGGTCTAATAAATAGTTACCCATGACATCCATTCCCCTTAAATTAACCTTGTCCTCAAGGTTCAAAGTCGGGATGCCTTCTTTGTAGGTTGTTAGCAGCTTCCTCATTCTCTTCACCATCCTTGAGTTAAGCAAGTAGTTCAAGATGACATATGTCTCATTGTTCTCATCTTTAGACTCATATATGGCATCTTCATCACTGGCTTTGGTTCTTTCTCAAAATTTTTCTCTTCGTCTATAGGGGGTCTATTTTCATCTTCCTTGATCGGATCCCGAACTGCGTATTCATCTATAAGTATCTTTAAATCGAGAGTTACTTTAAATACATCACCAGGTTGAATCAGTGTGGCATTAAATTCCCCTTTTCCAACAATTTTACCACTTATTTGGAATGACAAAATAACATCAACTTTTCCAGTAGGTATCACTTCTGCCCTACCATATGTACTGCCAACTTCCTCATCAATAGCCTGAGAAGTTCTCCAATTATCATCGGTAACCATAATAGGATTCCCACCAATTTTCACAAGGCCCTCTACTACCACAGCAACTTATCCTTTCAGTGTATCTGCTATCCCAAGAATACTAATTAAATTGTTATCATATGCCACATGTATTCATGTCCTTGCAATTTTGACTTCATTTCTACCTTCAGCAAAAGCATTCAATAAATTATGAATTTGTCTTGACCATATCTCCTAATCTTACCCCAAGCGATATCTCCTACATGAAATCTATGATCTCGAACTACTAATTTTTCTTCACTCTCTACTTTTTCATTATGAGCGACCACAATTCCAGTGTTCCCCTCAATACACACTTCTTCCCCTATATTTTTAGCAAACCTCTTACACAACTCTTCAGAGAACATACCCCAATCCGCCCTAGGATGGTTTGCAATGAATCCATATAACTATATGTAAGCCCTCCCTTCCAAGTACTTCTTAACCATTCCTAGCCTCAGTTCATCCGAAATGTGATGGAGTTGGAAGTATTTTCTGGCTTCCCTTAGCCATTTCCTAGGTCCTTCTCCCCCAAAATATGAAAAATGCATTTTAGCCTCTCGATTTTCTCTAGAAAATCAAGGATGAATTTCATATCTTCCAAGGATATACCTACTGGTTTGAGATGGTCACCCATATACTTCTATTTGTTTTTCTTTGCAATTAGCCTCGCTCCCAGATAATTGAGCTAACATTAACACCATAGACTCCTGTGTAGCCTTCATTTCTCCCATCATTTGTTCCATCCGGTCCAGGCTAGTACAAACACCCTGTAGTATTTGGTCGTTTGTTTTAAATGCCACTCCCAAATCACGTTGCTGCTCTGATACCACTTGTTATGCTTGGAGCCCAACTTTAACCAAAACCAATTAATTTCCAACCAAACTCAACCAAATAACCAGCAGCTATAAACCCAAGATATTGTAATTATCCAAATTAAGGGGGCGTTTGTTCCTCATTTTTGTAAAAATTAGAATGAGAAATATAATCGTCATGGGCTCCACATAAGAAATAGAAATTTAAATTTGGTGGCCTGATGTGATTGATAACTGCCACATTTTTCATTTTAATGGAGAAAAAATGGGAAACAAATAGGGGGTAAATAACACAATTTGAAATAACTAACAATAAAAACACAAGATTCTGAATATAAATTGCAATCACCCAAATTGAGGAACATAAACTAAATTACTGACAAGAACCAGTTAATCGCAAACCAAAATCAACACATTCATTCCCTTAATTGATGATTTTCTTGCAATACCGTGGACTACAAGTAAAGTAACAATTACAAAAGAAAAAAATAGTTTAACTGAGGAAGAAGAGACAGAGAATTGGAGAGAAGATTAAAAGTAGAAAAAGAGGAGAGGAAGAACCGAGAAAAAGAGTAAGCAGGAGAAGAAGCTTACCATAGAGGGGAGAAACGCAAAACACAGAAGAAGAGGGGAGAAAACGGGCAACAACCACGATCAATTCAATGTTCCACACCTGCAAAACATAACCATACAACCCCATATAGAGTAAAATAACAATCGGGCTTGGGCTAGCCCACTAATACAAGCCCAATTAGATAAAATCAAAGATAAATGATCCAATAAATAGTTACTCATGGCAAATTTCCACCGTATTAAGCGCTTCCTTTTAACTCGGGAAATTCTAAGCGCCAAATTCTCTCTCTCTCTCTCGCTGTGTATACGCGTGTTCAGAGGGTTAAAGAGATGACCGATGCATATGATCCACTGGATTTCGAATTTGAAGAGCCCATTCGTATTTCTCCTTCTGTCCCCAAGAAAAAGTAAGCCCTCTTTTCCTTTTACAGATTTGTTAAATTTCAAATTTTGGGTTCTTGTAGTTTTAGTGTTCTCCGTCCTTTTTTTTTTTTTTTTAAAATTTTAAATCGCTAACAAAAACCCTTTTTCCCCTTATTATTGAAAATTTAAAATATTGAATATAATATAATAGATTGTGGTAGTGTTGAAAATTTCTTCAGCGTTTATGAAATTGTCAAAATGCACGAATTGTTATGTGTTAAAAATCCTAGTTCCTGGCCAACGAGGCCTTATTCTGCTGAAGAAAAAGAATGAAGCTAAAGAGTCGAGACCTAAAAGCTCAAGTTCAAGACTCACCATGGAGTGTATTATTTATCATTTTTATTGGTTTTTCCTGTTAATAAATAAGTTTATTATCCCTGTTACTAGATTTCGACAACTTGCTTATGATATGTAATAGTGATGAAGAATGTTAATGATATTTTACTAGAAAAGTATAAAAGTTTTGGGGGATTGAAGAGGTTTCTTCTAACTATTTTCAACGATCATTAGATATAGAAAAATTTGGTACAAGAGTGTGCCACTTGTTAACCATAAGATGCATATGCATACCCATTTATCATAACTCTTATTATTGGGAAGTTTATGCATAGATGTTCACACTGGGAATAGTTGTTTTCTTCCCGTGTTTGCTTTGATTTACTCATCATACAATTCCAGCGCTGATCAGTTCAATTTGTGAAGATAATGGGAAAGGAATAGATGAATTGATCGATCCATTTGACCTCTCCCATGGCACACTCCTCTGAGGAGCTCTTCTGACTTATCCCTGGGGTTGCACAAGATTACACTAGCCATCTTATCAATTGGATAAACTGAGGTGACAAACACATTATATGTTGATGAAAAATTGAATAAAGTGATCAAGAAATTCATCTTACTTTCCATTGTTTTTCCTAAATCATAAGAATTCATTGATGATAGATAACCACGTCAAATTATAGTTGAACAAGAAGGAAATGATTACATATTTTTATATAATCAAGATTTGTCATGGGGTGAGAAGTGTCATTATACTCCTGTTGAACTGTTTAGAATTACTGTAGAGATTTGTATCACTTAATGCAGAGGAATGGATGTTTTCTTCTGCTGATTTTTTTCCTGTTTTTCATAATGTGATCTAACTTTCAACTGTTTAGAATTACAGTAGGAATTTGTATCACTTGATGCAGAGAACTAGATGTTTTGTTCTGCTGATTTTTTTTCCTGTTTTTCATAATGCGATCTACCCCTTGTGCCATCCCTCATCTTGGCTTTTATATATGTTATTTCTCCTAGAAGGTTTCAGTTTGGGAACATCTGCATCATTTTAAATGATTTACTTTCTACGCATGTATAGATTTTATCTATAGACAATGATCTGTTATAGTGACTTTTGTTCTGTTTAATTTAATTTATTTTACAGGAAGAAAGTTATAGGTTTGGATGATCTATTGGAGGATCATGAGAAGGAGCAAAAGAGGATCAATGAGAGAAAATCTAAACGACAAAAGATAAAAAATACTTCTGATTCAGAGGAGGATGAGGATGCTAGAGAAAAAGAACTGTCGAAATGTGTTGATAAATGCCAAAAAGAGGCATAATTTTCATTTAACTATTTTCTATTTTTTGTTTAAGGATTTTATGTAAAGTAAGTTCTAACGCTGTATGTGTTTCCTAGATGGATCAAATAAACGACGACGATGAAATGCCCTTGTGGGGCATTCAAGTCTTTGGAGATCAGGTTCCACTTGCTATTGATTGGCACATATTGTACCTTGGCAGTCTTAGTTTGCATTGTATGATTAGTTGCAATTTATCTTTCTCCTATTTATAACTTGCAGAAAATATTTCCAGCTTTGGAATATCCAGAGCCAAGAAGTTTTATTTTGCAGTCTATCGTGAACAACAAGCTCAATTCATTGGTTGAACTTACTATTGAGAAAGGTTTCTACTTATTACTCTTGTTTAGTTGTTTCCATAAATTGGTTCCTTTTACTACTTTTGGGAGTTGTCTATCATTTTTTGATATGTAACTTGAGTCGGACTTTGGACTTCTAAAAAATGCAAGACGGCCAGTATTTTGTTATAGAGAAAATTATTTTGATATTTGGACTGTGGTAGGAGAACCTTTTCTTGAAGGGTTGTTGGTGGATGGTTGGCTCTTGAAGCTGATCTTTACACAAGGCCGAGTTGAAAAATCCATCTCAACTTGGATATTTAATTTGAGTGAGTGCAATACCACTGTCAGTTATTTACAAAATGCTTATGTCACATTATGTTAAGCTCTTTTCTTGTGCCTTGCTAGTGTTATATTCATCAAAGGAATGGTTGAGGAAAGCTGCCTGTGAGTTTTGGTGCTCCATTCTCTCACCTGAGGTTGGTTTATCCTTGTTCCATTCAGAGCAGTCTATCAGTGTATGAGAATGTAACTTCTAATTTCTTTCTATTTTTTGAAGTTTTGTTTACTTTTAATGCTTAAACAGGCCAATTCATCAGGCATCAAAATTGACTGGTTACCTAGCTATTCAGATCTGAAAAGAGCTCTTGGCATATATGGTTATCTTTTGGACTCACCATCTAAACTTTCTTCTGATATAGATATGATCCATGCTGGTAAGCATCTCATGTTTAAACCCCATAATAATGGTGCATTCATAGTAATAAAATAATGCATTTCTAAGGAACACAGATGACACTACTTGAAATTACTTTCTCCGTCTTCTATTAGTTGGTTGTCTATAAATTTGGAATTGCAGAACTGAGAAATTCACAACATATTTGTGGTTCGGCCTAGGATAAAACAGCATGAACAAACCAGACCTTATTTCCTATAAATTTGAAGCTATATGAAACCTTCTTCCCCATTCCGTTTGGTACATTGCTAGATTTATCTAGCAACTACAATGTACCGTATTAATTTTGGTCTATATTTCCATTTTCTAACCCATTCAACTAAGTTACGGTTGGGTCTATATTTGTTTTGTTTATCTTCACTTGCAACAATTATTTTAGAAGGCCTGGTATCCTGTAGTATTTTTTCGTTTTAATTGTTAATAAGGTCATATTTACCTCTGCCTTCTGTTCATTATCTGTTTAACTCTGCTTTATATCTTTTGCTATGTGAAGGAGACAAAGGAAGTAGGAAAATGGGAAAGAAACAGACCTTTATTCTTGATTAATGAATACGATGACGATTCTTGTCACTTAAGGGTGGTACACTAGAATGGATGTTTGAAAGATAGAACTTCATAGAAGAGGCAGAACGTGGGAGATTTCTTCTCGTCTCTAGGAATGTTTGGTGTGGCAGAAGAGGTTTATATGAGTCTTTATTATTGAACTTTTCACCGAGCCAGTTTTTTATTTGAATTTCATCTATATGCTCAGAATGTTAAATCATGATATGAACACAAAATCAAATTTTCTCCAGCAACTATTTTATCTTAGCAATTACTAGTAGTCCCTTTTCTTTTAAGTTTTGGAAAGGGAAAAATCATTTTAGTATGATATGTATCTTTGTGTTCTCCCCTTTCCCCTTTGGCGAGTGGAGGAAAGGGAGCGTGTATACTCTCTCCCTGACCCAATAAGTCCTTCTAGGTGACGTGTGTTTTAGTCCTCTCGATATTGTTGCTTTGAGTTGGGCCAGTACTTACTCAACTGTTCAAGTGGTTTCTCCATTTTTATGCAATGTTCGCTTCAGTGCAACAGACTTATACTTAAAAGGAGCTATCTGAACTAAGTGACTTCTCCAAATTGCTTGTGTTATATAGACACAATCATGGCGTAGGTAAAAGGTCCTGCGTAGGTGAAGGTATTGATTGTGCTGGAGGAAAGTGTGCGATATTGAGATCCATCACATTGATTGATTGTGCTTCACAAGTTGGAAGAGGGAGGGGTAGACCAAAATGAATATGGCATTGCTAAGGACCTGGTTGTTTGAATCTTCAAGTATTTGAGTAGATTTAGGAATGATTTGAACAAGTGGTGAAAGAGAATCATGTAACCAATCCCAAATTTATGAGAAACAAGGCTTTTTTGTTGTATTATTTTCTAGTATGATAGTTTTCATGTGACTATTCGTTCTATTTATTTTAGATATGCCACATCACAATTGCGTGCATTATATGAATTTATTCATGATTGGTCAGTTCCTCACATCCATTTACACTGTCTTAGATTCGGATACAGCAGGACCACCTCAAAATATAAGATGTTGGATAAAATATGTTGCTGCCTGTTGCCAAGTTAGGTATGAACAGTAGTTTTCTGTGTCTACAAGTTGTATGTGTTTTTGTCTTCATGAATACAAATTTTATTTTTTCCTTTGGTTATAACTTAGAAGTGTAAATTTGTGATATACAAATTCTTGAAGACGAAGTAGTTTTGCACTAGTGCATGAGATAAGCTCTAATGTTAAACACTCTGGTGGACAACTTTCACTTATATATGGTTTGCAGGAATATGCATGTAATTTTCTCGACTTTGGAAGCAGAAGATTTTCTTGGGGTGATCATTAGTCTCTTCCTAGATCGACAACTTTTGGGCCTTAGTATGATTTTGCATGCATGTATGTATTCAGTTATAAGTTTCTTCAAAGATGAGGAATGGCATGACAGTTGTGAGAGAGTCGCAAAATCGCTTTGTTGCAGGTTTCCCTCTGACACTCCTCTTTAATGATTAATCTTTATGTCTACTCTTCTTTCTACTGCACATTGATTTAATTGTCAAATATGTGTTTGATACATGCCTGATGTTTTTATTTTTCCTTTTTTTTTTTTCCTTTTTTTTTTTTTTTTTTGGAGAAGAAAATTAATGGAAGTGGCATTTACAGAGGAAGTTACATTGAGTCGCAAATGAAGCTCATTTAATACTATTACTGACTGGATTAAATGATCAACGAAGCTTAATTTATTTGATAATCGTGAGATAGGGTTCAGAACTAGTTGAAACACTCGAGTCCTTGATAATAAAATGTTGGATGTGATTGAGAGAAATCGATCACCTCCAATGTTGAAAGTAAAATTGATTTATTGGATACTTCTATATGGTTTCTTGATTATATAAGATATGCATTTCACGTTTAAGTGTTTCTTGGGTGTCAAATCCAGCCCTATTTGTATTTTGATATTTGATCTTTTCCTTTCCTGCTCTTTGCTAAAAATGTGCTGTTACTGATGAAGATTGCCTGGGGATATCAATTGCTTGAGAACGGTTGAGAGTATATCAGGAAGCAATGGACGAAGCAAACACCTGCGAAGTGCAGTGGCAAAACAATTTCTAATAAGATGCTTGAATGAGAAGGTGACAGTTGAACACCTCATCGTCTCTAAATTCATGCATATATAATTTCTTTTAGGATTGAAAAGAAATTTAAAGGTTTGGAGTGATATATTGTTTAATTAACACTTCTTTCTTTTTTTTTTTTTGATCGGCAACCACTTTTAATCTTATGCAAACCCTAAAAGGGATTGAGCTTGGTTATTGTAACTTTAATTAATTAGTCTTACTTTTACATCATGCTACAACTGAATGTGAACTTGTACTTTGTTTTACATTATTATATAAACTATAACATAAAATTTAGAGTCTTGTTCCTTATTTGTAGGAATGTGATGCAGAGGATATCCTGAGAATGCTAATCTCAATTAATGTGAAGGACAAGAATTGTGATCTTTCGAAGATGTACATATACTTGGGTCTGGCAGAGAACTGGCTGCTATTTGATCCCACGTTAAAAGATAATGCAAAGATACATGAGATGTGGAGAAGTTGTCTTCGGAACTGCTCTTGCGGAATAGCCATCACTGATTTGAGGTCTTATGCTTCAAAGGTGAGCAACAAATGCACCATCACATTTGCCCCTGACCCCTTGCCATTTGGCACACTCGCCACGCACATATATCCAACATTATAATTTAATACCAAAAACGAGCAAAACCCAAGAATTATGTTACAAAATTCTTAAAACCGTGCAGGTCCGTAGTAAAGCTTCATATCTTCTTCAAGGCATGGCCAACAAGTGACTGATTTAGGTTACTATTCAAGCACTTGGCAATCTATATTTGCTTCACAAAGTTTGCTCAAAACCCACATGAAGACAGAAGAGTTTGAATTCAAAAATGTTACCAAAATATCTATTTTGACATGATAAAGCGTATCTACCACAGGAAAAGACGTGTTATCTAACTTAAATCATTGACATTTGGCATGATAGTTCCAGTCATTTTCATCAGTGTTCACAGAGCCGAAGCAGTTTCTGTTGCGAGTTTTAGCCATTTGAGCAGTGGTTTGACCTATAATCAAGAAGCCAGAATGCTTTGCCGCACCTCTTCCACTACTGATTATTTTGTCAATGGAAGTGCTTATTTTAGTACAGCAAAATTGTAATGTATAATGATGGGCTGTGTTAAAAATAGATCTGTTGAGTTTGACTGCTTTTGTCCCAAAGTTGTACCGTTAGGATTCGACGGTGCTATTACGATTGCATCACGTTTCGCTTGACTAATAGTGAGAGCGTGTTTGATTGACATGGAAAATATCACCTAGAAAAATAAAATATTTTCTTTGTTTTAAGGAAAACAAAAACCACTTTTCTCCAAAGAAAATATTTTTCTTAAAAACAAGGAAAATTAGATTTATTTTTAAAAGTTGAAAAATATTTTTAATGGAAAAAAATAACAATCAAACACCCAAAGTGGAAATTTGGATGGAAATTTGTTATTTTCTATGGAAAATAAATGTAATCAGATATATCCTACGACACCGTTTGATTGCCCATTAATTCCCTAGAAGGTGGAAATTAATTTCCATATTTTCCAAATTCTAGTGTTTGATGGCAAAACATTTCCTTGGAATTCACTTTCCATACAAGCCACACATGCCTATTTCCCTTCATTTCAAGGAATTGGTTTTCTCACCTATATGGGGGGAAAGTGAATTCCAGGTTTTCAAAATTTTTTTTTTTTGGGTGTTAGCAATGGAAACAAATTCTAAGAATTATTGTAAAAAAATATTTTCTTTTAATTGACAATTTTTGTGTAAAATAAAGTCAAACGAACACCGAAAAATATATGTTTATTTTTATTTTATTATTTTTTTTTTTGGGATTTTGGCAAACAAATTTCATTCCCAATACTAGTAAATTATATTTCTTTAATTGACAATCTTCATTAAAACAAAGTGAAACAGACATTAAAAAATACTTTAATTTAAACATTTTTTACGTGAAAAATTATACCAATCAAATAAAATAATTTACAATTTCCCATCAATTCAATTCCCTGGAATTCGTTTTGTTTTCATCCAAATTCCACATTTGCAATCAAACGGGCCCTAAGTGAAAATAACTTCTAAGTTAATTATTTTGTCAAGCAAAATTTTCTAAGTTACATTTTTACTAAATTTTTTTTTTTTTTTTTTACGTTTTGATAAAGTGATTTAGAGTCCATTTAATTGCAAAGATGGAATTTGGATGGAAAGAAAATGAATTTTAGAGAATTGAATTGCCTAAAAATTGTTTTATTGAAAATTGTTAATTAATAGTGTTTGATTAGTATAATTTTTCACCTAAAAATGTTGAAATAAAAGTGTATTTTGGTGTTCATTTGATTTTGTTTTTCATAGAAATTGTCAATTTAAAAGATATTCACTTTTACAACTGTTCTTAAAATTTGTTTTCATTGCACAAAAAAAAAAAAAATCTATATTTTGGTGTTCGTTTTGTTTTGTTTTATATGAAAATTGTCAATTTAAATGATATTCTCTTTTACAATTGTTCTTAGAATTTGTTCTCATTGCCAAAAATAAAAAAAGAAAAAAAAAGGGTGAAAAACATAAAACCATCTACCCTATGGAAAAATGAATTCCCTAAAAACCTGGAAATCGTGAGCGTGTGAGGGAAATTTGGGAAATGAATTGCCTGAAAAAATTTGGCTATCAAATAAGCCAAAAGTGGGAAATGGAATTTGTTTTTCACTTTCCATGCAAAATTTTGGGCTATTAAACATAGCATTAGTGCAACCAGACATACTCTTTACCCATGTGTACGTGGGTTTGATTTTCTGAACAGGTTTTTATGTTATTTCACTTCATTTTTGGAAGTTTTGCATAATTACTCCTTAATATTTACAACCTCATAAAAATTCCATTCAATTCACAATCTTTAGTTCCATGATTTTGTCCTTTCAATATAATTTCATAGACTTCAATTTCTCATGAGCTATTTTTCTAAGGATGACATAACACTATGCTTGACACCTAATCCAATCCTGCTAACTTTTTCTTTTCCCTTTTTTTTTTTTTTTTTTTTTTTATTTTTATTTTTAAATTTTTAATAAACTTTACTTTTATTTTTCTTTTGGGTTGTTCCCCCCCCCCCTTTTTTTTTTCATTTTCAATTTCAATTTCAATTTCAAATTTTGGAATAAACTTTACTTTTATAACACACAAATCTTGTTCAAATTTATTTTGATGCATGACTAATTTATGAAGTTAACAGTTTAGGTGACAGTGAATCCTTATTCATTGTCGACATCACTAATCTAGATATTACCCTTGATTCATTGTCGATAATGAATTAAGGTATTATGGATCATGATTACCATTAATGATGTGTAGCATTATCCTATTTTATTATTTTTGAAAAGAATCCAAATAATCCCTCCCACGCTATTTGAAATAAGGAGGTTCGGCTGCGGCTCTGCCTCGGAAACCCTCGACAACATTCAATCACTTTGCTTCGGAAGGCCGTTATAAACTCCGAACCACAAATCTTTACCTTTTGCTTTTACTTTAGCTTTTTTTGATTTCCATCTTTCTCAATCCGCCACGATTCCCTCCCTTAACAACGGCGATTTCCATCTTCAGTTACTATTTTATATATGTTATGATACTTTTGATTCCAATTATATGTTTCTCATCATACATTTCGAAGACTAGAAGGCCATAGTTTATTTTCGTTAATTTTTTTCTGTAATTAGTGTCAGACACATAAACCCATTTTGTAGAACATCCATTTGTCCCTTTGGTGTAATTTCACTTCAGGATAATTTTGGGTCTGAATTTAGTGTTCATTTCTAGGAAATTCCACTTGGGTATCTTGAATTTTGAGGTTATTTTTCGAAAGGGATCTTGAAGGAGGATTATGAAAGGGGATAAAATGGCGAAAAGATCCTCTTTTGGAAACATGGTGAGAAGGAGGCTTTCAGATATTACTAATTCTTTGCCAAATCCCAAGTCTCCTGCGATTGTGGAGAAGTTGCCCTCAGAATCTGCTTCTGGCAAAGATTACATTGACCAACTAGTTAAGGTAATTTGTTCTGCGTTTTCTGTATACATCATCTCTATTACCTTTTGATTTAACTTTTTCTTTCACAATTATTTTGTGTGATTTATGGATTTTTGAAACAGGAAAACGTCGGATTGGTGAAACTTATTCAAGACAAAAAGTACTTTTTTCTTTAATCTCTTACTGTGTCTGTGTGTTACCTTGAATTTTATATTTTGTATGCAGTATTTGAACAAGTTGGACAGGGGAATAATGTATAAAATATTAGCTCCTTTTCTTATTTAATCCCGTAGTATCTAATCCACACTGCCCCTAAGTTTCTCAGAATTTTTTTTTTCTTTCTAAATTTTATCAACAGTAAAATCATAGAACTAAGTGGAATAGAGATTCAAAATTTGAGAGAGAGTGTACAGAAGATGCAGTTGCAGAACTGGAATCTCGCACAATCAAATAGTCATATGTCAGCGGTAAATGCTTTTCGTTTTTGCCCAACTACACGGATGTAAAATGTTTTGTAGGATAAATTTGACTGGTTTTTTTATGGTAATCATTTTTCTTGTTATCTATGCAGGAACTTAATTTGAGTAAAGAAAGGGTAAGCTTGACGCTCAGAATTCGAGAGTTGTATCTTATTTGTAGATTGGACCTGGCTTTACGCATGCGGTTTCTCTTGTTTTTATAACTTACTGATTTAATTGCAGTTGAAAACACTGCAACATGAACTTGTATGTAAGGACGCTCTTCTTAAAGCAAAGAGTCTAGAACTTAAGGTAAACTCAAATCAGTTCTATATTATAACGTTGGTGTGCTTATTATAACGTTGGTGTGCTTTCAGAACTGTTTTTGTTTGTGCTTTCTCTTTTTCTGAATGAAAACTTAGCAAAGTGTCTCAACGTTAATAGTAATGTTTAAGTCGAGTTTCTTCCCTCATTAGCATTATCGAGGACTTTTCATAAACTGAAATTCATTATTACCTTATTTCAAATATGTCGAGACGTGTACATGGAAACATATGTTATTTTGTTCTTGTTGAGGTTGAGCGTTGCAAATACGGTTTTGAAATGTGTTATGGAGCAGTTTTGAAGCTTCAATGTAAAGTAGTAATGTTAATCTGAGCTCCTTCCTCAATAGCATTGTGGAGAACTTTTTCACTTGCTGAAAAATTCTTACTTATGTGGGGTGTTCATACCCGGGCAATGAGATCTCCCCTGCGTACACACATCTAATAATGGTGTCAATATCCAATTTGTTTTCGGCATCAGAGTCCAGTATTGCAGAATGTTTGCTAAAATTATAACACTTGAATAATATTGATATCGAGTTGGAGTTTTTGTACTGATATTTGCAGGGACCAGAAGAAGTGAATGCTGAAAAGAATGGATTACAGGTGTGTTTGTTGAGCTCTAGTGGTTTCGGAGGTCAAATGATCGCATTTGTTGCTAACTATCTGTATTATATAGTTGGAGACTAAGGAGCATGAAATGTTCGATATGGAGGCTGGAACTAATGAGGATAGCAAACAGGGAAATGGAAGCAGGAGACGACGTGCCTCAAGAAGCCGATGTATATGCTAGATTTCAGTGCAGCTACTTTTAGTTGGTTATCGTCCGATCCTCGTCTCTTTGAAAAAAGGGGGTTTGGATTTGATAGTTCTTTTTATAGTGTTATAATCGGCTAATGATTCCAGCTGTTAACTAAGTAGAATTTATGGTTAATTGCAGCGTCTGGCCAGTCAACATCATCTCAACAAGTTGTAGAGAAAGAAGTAATGAAAACCAAAAGGTTTGTATTTACTTAACTGCACTACAAGTCATCTTTCAGTTGTGATTGAGCCCGAATTTTCCTTCTGCAACACTGTCTTAGACATAACGGACGTACAATTGAATTGTGGTGTCGAAATAATTTAAAACTTTGGATTTCCTACCAATAGAAATGACCTAAAGAGGTTCTTTTGCATAAGAGTGATGCTTCTCTAGAGCATATTAGAAAGAGGGAAGGATGGAAGCCTATTGTGGTTGCTAAAGATCGACCATTAAATCTAGCATCAAATTAAACTAATGTACAAAAAAAGATTCTTGTAGAAAACTCCAAAAAAGAAAAAAATAATAACTGCTTATAAAATAAAATCATCGTTAGAGAATTTTCAATAGACCTTTTAAATATGAGATGCTATCTATTTTAAAGATTCGACCTTTATAATCATGTTTCAAAAGATTCTTTAAATTAAAATTTTAATTTAGAGTGGGTTTGACTCTCTAAATTTGAAGAGCCAAACTCATTATCTATAATTAAATACATTCAAAATGTTTCAATTTTCAATGAAAGAAAATGATAAAATAATCTAAAGAAATGCAAGTTAAAATAAAAGATAAAAAAAAAAAAAAAAAAAAATTGGGAGTCGTAAATTAAGTGTTAATATAAAGATCTTGTTCGAGTATTTCAAAATTTTAACTTTTTAAATTTATAGATGCCCTTCAAATGATAGAATATAGTATTTTAAAATATGGAGCCTCTTGAAGATGCCAGAGTAAATATTACAAAATTGGATTTTGTGTCTGAATTTTATGTACAAGGATATTTGAAGTTTTTGAATTTCCCCCACTGGCATTTATATGTTTTCAGTACACGAGATTTTATTTCTATAATCTAAAAATAGCATCTGAATTTACATTAATGGAGGATACATGACAGAAGATTTTGTTTATACAATTTTGATATGCTGATGAGATAATCATCTCAATAACATCAATTGTACTTGCTATTGCTGCATCATCCTAATGATAAATCAAAGTTTATTCTGTTCCCACTACTGGCTACTGCTGTTTCTATTACTAAGCTTTTTATCGTTTTCTAGGCTTTGTTTGAGAAGACAATCTGCTGCTACTTACAGAATACAACACCAGGAACCGGCAGAGAACTTGTTCGAGATTGATTATGACACATTTCCAGTGGCCGGACCATTGAATAATTCTGCACGTGAAGATGGATCCTATTCACCACCTTCATCTGAAGCTCAAGAACCACGTAGAACTTCCATTGGACGACCATTACGAAGTGCAGTCGAGAAGGTTGAATCCTACAAAGAAAGACCTATTAACATCAAAATGAGGAGAACACAATGATCACTGTCAAATTTGTCGAGAACTCATGATTAGATAGCATGTTATGATGCTGCATGACCTTTTGTGTTTTGTTTATTGTATAACTGTATCTTTATGACATTATTTGGAGTATTTGTGGTTGAAAAGTGTGGAAAATTTGTGGTATTTTTTGGAGAATGTGCGGTTGAAAATGATTTTTGAGAAAAATGAATTTGGAAAAGTTTGTGCCAAACAAAGCCTTAAATTCGAGCAACGACTCAACTACATGAATCTTGTGTTCTGTGGATAACATATATATAATGAACGATTATTACCAAACCAATCAAAAAGTTCTTAACAAATTTTATTTTACAAATATGAATGATAGTAGTGAACTTTATACTGAACTGGTGGTGCCAAAACTTCGTTCAAATACTGAAGGTGACAGAGGGCAGCATAACGATGATTGGGAGACCAGAAAAATGGGACAGAGGGCAGCACGACGCAAGCGAGTTATGCAGCATTTGATGCTCTTGGCAGGGAGATAAACATTGAATAAATTGTATTTAATTTATTCTTTCCAAGTTCTTATACATGTTATTGTGAGAAAGAAAGTGACTACTAACTACAATACAATACACAATATATTTTATTGTTAGAGTTATATTAAATTTGAATTTTAGCCTCTGTTTAATGGCCATTATTTTGTCAAAAAAGAGAGAGTTTTAAATAATGATTTTTTTTTTGGGAGAATGTGTGGTTAAAAAGTTGGAAAACGATTTTTAATTACATGTAAAATATTTTATTGTATAAATTTGGTGTTAAAATGAGTATGAAAATTAAAAAGTTTTGTTTTAAATGGAGATAAATAGAGGCTTAATTAAATCCAAATTTATAATGAATAATAGAAGATGTTTTTTAAAGCTAAGTAACCTAAGTTCAACTATATCAAAGTTTAGTGGCCAAAATTCAACCATCTCAAAGTTTAAAGAGCAATAGAAGACATTTTTCAAAATTTAGTAATCAAAATTCGACTATTTCAAAGTTTAATGATGTGACAGGATGCCACGCGTGTATTTCATCAGCCACATCATCAATTCCATTAGAAGTTTGAGACGAAAGTTATGTCAATGAGTAACGTACAATATTTTGTCAAAATTAAGTGGCCAAAACTCGATATTTTAAATTTTAGTGAGCAATCGAAAATATAGATATAAGTTACCATTAAAACAATTTATCTCTTCCTTTTAAGCTACTTGCTACTTATAGATTGTTGAATTTATTCCAATTTTCCAAACTATTTTCTAACGTATTTTATCCATTATAAATTTGTTTTCATTTGCTTCAGTTGTTAAAGCTCCAAATTAGTATATGCTGAACATTTTTTTCATCTCAAAAGATGAGCTATATATATATATATATATATATATATAAAATTACAATTTAATCTTACGTGATAGTTTTCTACTCCAAATTAGTAATATTGGTTAATATATAATCTAAATCTGTAGTCCAAAAAACTATACTTAATATCCATTTAAAAAGTACTTATAAACGGTTGAATTTATATAGAAATGGTTAATGGATAAATGGTAATGTATAATTGAAAATGAAAATTAAGTCTTAATTGTCTAGTCTACATATTAGAGAATTCAATTTTAATCGATCATTTCCAAGTAAATGATTGTCAATATTACCCTGTCCAAGTTGACATGATCTCAAAGTCCCCCTATATAATGATCAAGCCAAACTGATACCCAGGAGTTCTTTAGAAAGAAGGATAAGTAGACCAATAAAGATTAGGATGATGCTATACGTATATAAAAAGTTGACACAATGATCTACACCCATGTGAGTTGGCAAATTTTGGTACATTAATCTTGACAACACATTTTCCAATCAACTATCAGATTTTTGACATATAGAGAGATGTTAATCAATGTGTACACTTTGTACGTACAAATAGTTTAATATTAAATTTTGTTCTTCAAGCATATTGTTGCACTCATAAATTATGTATCATATGTGTGACAAAGGGAGTCCTATGCATGCCAACGTAGCATCGGCTATTCAATTGGATTAATATATTTAATCAAGTAACCTTGTTTTGGGCCTTGAATGGAGTACTTTGAATTGGAGCCAGAAGGAATTTTTTATCGCTCCATTTTCATCATTTTCTATTTTATATATATATATATATATATATATAATCCATTTCATTTCAAAGTATGTTTATTGTAACTCTGGTCAAAATCTTCTCTTTCATCTCTTGCACTCATATTATCTTTCTTCCAGTCATTGACTTGATTGTTAGAGTGCTAACGATTGTTGGACCCCTTTTTTTTTTCAATCGACGGTCGTTGCCTTCTAAAGAGATGTTCAGTGTGCAAGTGATGCCCACGTGATGGAGACGTGATCGAAATTTTGTTGACTTATTTTTTGAGATCAATATATATATTATTTAAAAACAGTTATTCTACTTGTACAGAAAATTTGTATAGATGGAATGATGGTATGGATTTGAATTTTCTAGATACATGAGTGCAATGCTTCGTCTATCAAACTATTTGTACAAGTAGTAGAGTTCATTTACAAAATGTCAAATCCCCAAAACTTCCAAGCAGACCCTAAAGTTCATGGGATAAATCCATTAATGGCCAACTAACTTAATACTTGGTGTCACCATAGTTACTTAATTTGATTTTATTTCACCATGGCTACCAACTTTATACTTAGTGTCACAATGTCATCTAATTTGATATTATTTCACTATGACCACTCAATTTCATATAACATATCACTATGGTTGTCCAACTTTTTTATTTTTATTTTTTTACCTCCACTTATTTTAAAAGGGGTAAAACGGTAAATTTCTTAAAATTAAAATAGAAACTTATTTTAAAAAACAAAATAAAATAAAAACTTATTTAAAAAAGTGCCACTTAAAAAATAAAGTAAAAGCTTATTTTTACAAAAAAGTTACATAATAAAATAAAAACTTATTTTTAAAAAAGTTACTAGAAAAATAAAATAAAATAAAAACTTATTTGAAAAAAAATATTTTTAAAATAAAATAAAACTTATTTAAAAAAGTTACTTAGAAAAATAAAAACTTATTTTAAAATAAACATTTTTTAAACAAAAAACTTTTATTTAGTTAAAATTATTTTATATATATATAATACAAAATTATCGTTTTATTTCTTTTAAAATTAGCGAAAGTGATGAAAAGAAATTTGGGCGATCATGGTGAAATGTTATATGAAATTAGATGGCAACAGTGAAACGTTATATGATATTGGTGGCTATGATGAAATAAAATCAAATTGGGTGGCTATTGTGACACCAAGTATAAATTTTGGGACCATGATGAAATAAAATTAAATTAGGTGACTATGATGACAATAAGCATAAAATTGGGTGATTGTTGATGAATTTAACCTAAAGTTCATATATAGACACATTCACACTGCATGTGCGTAAAAAGCCAAAATCGAATGAAGAACAAACAAATCCCTTCAGCACCATACTTCCCCAGTCGCTTTCATCCTACTGTTTCTACTTTCTCTCTCTGTATACACTGCTCTGTTACTTCTTTGATCAGTCACATACGGACACACAATGTTGCATTAAATGCGGGCGTCTTTTATCGGTTTAACTCTCTCACTCCTAGGTTCGCCTTTTTATTTATTAATTTCTTTTTCAACACACAACGCAGGCCACTGACTTTGTTAATCTACAACTGGGTTTTACTTGCATTTCATCTTTTTTGCATTTTCTGGGATCCTCTTCTGTATTTGTCTAGCATTCGTATCTGATAGCATTACAAGTTTTTTAAGCGCTACATATGTATGCAATATTATTTACTTACTTCAATAATTGCTTTTACCTTTGTATTCGGGCCTTTTTTTTTTTTTTTTACCTCATATCCAGATCTATAGCATCTCAAATATTCATATGTACAATGTAAAAATCCCTTGTAATTTTTGCCGATGTATGAATCCTGATGTCTGTGAAACCAGGAGTTATTTTTTTCAAATACGATTTAATTTAATGGGTTTTCGTGAAATCACAGATAATTGAGAGGATTCAGATTCAACTAGATTTTCGAGGCGAAAATGGAGGGAAGAATGAAGAAATACAGGCAAGTTAGCCCAGAAAGAGCAAAAGTATGGACGGAAAAATCGCCCAAGTATCAATATAAACAACAGCAGCATGATCGTAAAGTGCCTGTAGTTTACTATTTATGCAGGAATCGACAGCTCGAGCATCCACATTTTATTGAAGTCCCCATCTCTTCCCCTGATGGCCTCTACTTGAGAGGTACTATAAAATTCACTCTTATGTATGTATGAATTTAATTTTATTTATACAAGTGATTCTTTTGTTATGAAACTTCTTACTTGTTCTTTAGATGTTATGGAAAGGCTTAATGTTTTGAGAGGCAGAGGCATGGCTTCAGTGTATTCTTGGTCTTGCAAGAGGTGAAAATGGTTAAATTTGATTTTATATTTGAATCTGTCAGTTATAATTGTGATTGCTTATGCTAAATTCTTTATGGTGGTTTATGGATACAGGAGTTATAAGAACGGGTATGTATGGCATGACCTTTGTGAAGACGATTTGATCCTTCCGGCTCATGGAAACGAGTATGTTCTTAAAGGTTCTGAGCTCTTTGACGAACCTGATTCTGGTAATTCAGTATTCTCATGCTTCCATTGTGTTTATCCACATGATTTACTGCTCTCATGTGAGAACAGCTAATTTAATTGAACTCAATGCCAACTTGTTCTTTCATAGTGCAAAAAAATGTAGGCGAGATTAGACCAGATACTGACTTCATTGAGTTCCAATAGAATCTAGTTTGATATGCTTGACTTGGTAACAACCTATCGATTTGTAGTAGTAATAACGAAATCTCAAAAATATGAGACCGGTGACTTGATACTAAAGTTGAAAATTGTTCTATGTTTCTTAAATAGGTAATAATTCAAGATAGAAGTTGTAACAAGAAACCTTTAGAAAGTTCTTACGTTTATTCTTATTTGTCCATTTGGGCATCAGAGATGGGGTGGCATTCTCAATGAATTTGAGAGAGAAAATAATATGGAAAAGATACAGCTGAAGAATTTAAATTTTGATTCTATACCACCCTTCACAGAAAGAGTGAACAATGTCCACATTACCCTCTTAGGATATGACAGAAGAAAAGAGAGTATGTATTCAATAATAATACGTAGGTCAAAATCCCAGTTTTGAAACTGAGCACTTTATATTTTCAGGTCAATTGAGTCCGGCTGGAAATGTTGCATTACAGAATTTAAAAGCATTACCAGAACCACCATCTTCTAGAAGTCGAGGTGAATCTTCATCTTCCTCCAGCTTGAATGGTAGAACAACTAAGAGTTCTCAGGATGATGACCTGTCTCCTCCTATTCAGCGTCCACGTTCGTTGGCTCTCTCTCCACAGTCCAGTGTCGGGAAAACTTCCTCTTCAAATGCTCCTTTAGGCTTGACAGAGTACAAGGTTTACCAGAGCAATGGTCTAACTGATGCCTTCACTCAGACTGAGGAACATGCTGGCACAGCTGTTAGATCTCGAGACACTTGCACAAGAGGTGTTTCGACCGATGATGGATCACTAGAGACCGAGAGAAATGAGCCTCGTCAAAACCAGGTTCCTCAAGTAAAGGAGACTTCGGAGATCTGCAGGGATTTAGTTTCACCACCTACATCTATATCTAGTACATCTTCGACGAGTGGAAAGACCGACACCCTGGAATCTCTCATCAGAGCAGATGCCAGTAAGCTCAACAGCTTCAGAATACTTGAAGAGGAGGAACTTCGTATGCCATCAAACACAAAATTCAAGGCTTCAAATGTGCTTATGCAATTGATCACTTGTGGGTCAATAGCGGTAAAAGATCACAAATTTGGCCTTATCCCTACCTACAAGCCTAGCTTTTCACATTCCGAATTTCCATCTCCATTGTTCTCGACATCAGTGATGCTGGGAGAGCTGGATTGTCTTTCTGAGAATCCTAGGCTGATGGGTGTGAGGTTGGAAGACAAGGAATACTTCAGCGGGGGCTTGGTCGAGACAAGTGTGCCCACGGAAGAGGTTACTATAAAACGATCTTTGTCATATAATGCGGATAGGTCAGTTCGTGATACATCGCTCTGTCAATTATATACTTCTGTACAATTGTATAATAGTGATCTAGCTTGTGCAAATTGTTGAAGACATAATTCAAATAAAGAAGTTGTTCCCTCTTTATGGCTTAAGCTTTTAGACAAGGTGATTTAGCACGTATTCTTCCCCTGTAGATTGTTATACTGAAATAGGAGGATTATTTTGGAATGCAGGACAAACAAGCAGTTTGATTCACTCGAAGACGAGAAAGAGCCTAATTCCACGCATTCAAAGTGCATTCCTAGGTCCATCAAGGCTTCATTGAGTAAGCAGCCAAGATGTGAATCTATGAGATCCCCTCTCTCTGAGGGACGTCGAATCTCGTCTGATCGTGTGGATAGTTCACGAAACATTACATTTGGTACAGCCAGTGGTGGAAGCAAGAGAATTGAAGAGCCGTTCTCTGAAAAAAATCTGTCAAAGAAAGTAGATTCTTTCAGAGACGAGAAGGAAAATGTCATCAAAATCGAAGAAAGTTAAGTTCTGGTACTAGTTACTTAGCGTAATGCTACTACTCTTATTCATGTGTTTTGAGATCTTCTCCACTTTTTCCTAGCAGGCTTGCTTCAGGGGCACGAATTATAATAGAATCCAAAGTATCCTCTGAAAGTGAGGATAACTCCAAGAAACCTTTTGACGATTGATCCGTGGCAGTTTTTGATGGGAGATCTAGTTCTTTTCTACGACTTGACCTTGGCGAGTTCTGATCTTGTTAATTTGTTGGGCGGTCTACTTTATGCGCCTGATCTGGAATGAAGTATGGAGTAAATAGCTTTGTCCATTTGGTTCAAAGTTTTGGAATGGCCCTCCTGGAGGAACTACTGGATTTTAAGTTGTTCTTCTGTCTAACGTTAGCGTCATACTTTGGTAATGTAGACAGAACTTAACTGAATACCGGTAGAGAGAGTGAAATCAATGATTTCGACAATTTTTGTACGTGTAATTATTGAAGGTTAAGAACTTGAGAATAGCTTTGCCCATTTGGTTAAAAGTTCTCTAAATAAATAGAACATATAGTTGTTGAACTATGTTTGAAAAACCTCTTGTTTGCTCGTTAAAATCAGTAACAGGTTCAGTTATAGTATATAGAACCAGAATAAGACTTCAGTTGATCATTTTTTTGATTGCATATAAGCTATTATATGTGATTTATTATTATTATTATTATTATTATTATTATTTAAATAGAAAAAGTCTGCAAAAACATTAGTTTTGTAGAGAACCATATTGGAGAAGACAGGGAAATGCTCTGTGTTTCCTTACAGAAGTCTTACAGATCTCTCACTGTAGGGGTCGGTTCCACATGAAAAAAAAAAAAAAAATGTTACGCATGTATGTTATCTGGTAGGGGTTTGTAAATGCAGCATGCTGCTTATCCAAGAGGCATATGATGATTATTCAGCTTTATGGTTGAACCAGTTGGAATTCATGTAGTTGACTAAAAGTATTTTAGAATCTTTCTAAGTCAACGTAGACAAAACACCAAGGAAAATGCTGGAGCAAGGAGGGGGAGCGGGGGGTTCGCCAACCCCACAAATAGTTGGGGGTCTCATTTTTTT